TGAATATTCTTGCAGAAGTACTTACTTGTTATGACAAAGTCTTATTTTTTGAGCCACATTAACCTGTTTGAGTAGAACATTTTATACATCCATCCAGCCCTAGGCATGATTTGCACTGGTAGATGCTGCCCAGAGATTGTATTGAATCTCTTCTAGAATCTGACAGAGCTGGGCACCCTGCTCAGGGGCATGTCACGGGGCAGGATTTGGGGTAGTTTGTGTGTGGTATGTACATGGCAGAGGGACTGTCACGTGGGGACTCTTGCAGATGAATCCCAGTATTGGGTCTGTATGTTTCTTTCATTACACATTGACACAATAATTCTCATGTGTCAAATGCAATGTATGTGGCTTGTGGTATGTGGCTTGTGCTTATATTTAAAGCATAAATGTATGCTAAAACCTCTAGAAAACAAACATTTTAGGTATCAGAGCCTTTCTGTTGAGAAGCTGAATCTTTGTTACACTGAATGCTAAACATTTACATATCCAAGCCTTATGTAATGGATGTCTGAATAATAATAAAACTGCACAAACTGACCTTCATTCTCTGGCACCACATCGCCTTTGAAGTCTGCATGACCAAATTCAAGACAATTATGTCATCCTTCATAACAGCCAAACAAAAGTTTGGCCAAATAATCATTTTTCTCCATATAACAGCACTGTGTTTGATTTTTGTAATGTGTGTCAATGTAGCTGTTGTTATTTACTGGGTGTTACAAGTGACAGTAAAACCAGTAAAAATCCCCTTGTTTTATATTAATGATCAGCCCTGGTAACATCTGGATTTCATTTTACCTCGGTACCCACTTCTGCTATACTCAGTTACTTTGAGTAGTACATTGCGGGGCAAGAATGGCTTGAAAGCACACACACAAATAATTAGCAGAACATCGTGTTGCAGTATGTGCCCATGTGTGACAGAAGTGAAACAGAGCCCTGAATGGAAGAAGGGAAACTGGCACTAACATTTCCCCTTCTGTCCAAATCTACCAGTGCCACACTTTGAGTAAAATTCTCCGTGTACAAGGCTGTCTCTCTCAGTTAAGGGTTGTCAGCAGAGACTCAGATTGCACATTACTGGGCCTCAGACCTTGGGGAAACCTTGGCATACTGTCATCTCAGTCTTTGAGACTCTGCCTGTGTCACCAAGCACTTCAATACTTGTTTATTTTCCCTCATCCCCTGATTCAAGTCATCCCTGCTCGTGCCCATGTGCATTGTCATGATTTGACTCTTTACTTTGAAAATGAATTATAGATTTGATGCAGACTGGGATGGATATAGAATGGGATGAAATATTTTTTGAAACTACCTGTATCATAGAAACTGGATTAATTTCTGCAGAGAACATTGTATAGGTTCTTAAATACTGCTTTGAATGCAATGCTTGCATATAACCGGGCGTTCACATGGGATGCTTTTGGAGGGGATACAACTCCTGCTAGCATAGCTGGATCCAGTGGAAGTGTGACGCCTTTTGCCATCTAGTTTTACGTAAAGCGCAGCAAATCATGTAGGTTGTGTTTATAGCTGGTTTAAGTTACTTTATCTGGACTCCTTACAGCTCTTGTGCCTTTACTTGATCATGTTACAGCATGGGTACATATATGCATGTACATATGTACATTTATGTGTATGTAGGTACATACGTACTTTCACAATGAATGTGCCTAATGTATGTGTTGCACTTCATCTGTTGCAAAATTAAGCCATTAAAGGAGAAACACTTCCATTCTAATATAGCTCGACAAAGCTTCACTTCTGAACCGTTAGATTTATGACTGAAGACAATAAAGCCACGAAAAACTGAAGAAGCAAACCACGAATGCAATCCTGATAATAATAATACCCTTTTGTGTCCAATTGCAATTAGGTCTTGATTTAATTCCTAAATGAGCTTCCAAGATTTTGTTGGTTTAAATCATAACGTTGATGATCTTTTCTTTATTTTACTTCAATTTGGTGCCATGGTGTAGACAAATGTAATATGTAGAGTTTATGAAACCAGACAGCTAGTAAATCAGTATTATTTTGCTAGTAAATTACAAAG